CCCCATCAGGTTCTGGTGATAGGCTCTGGCCCATGCGGCCTCCGCACGGCCATCGAGTGCGCCCTGCTGGGGGCCAAGACGGTGCTGGTGGAGAAGAGGGACCGCTTCTCCCGGAACAACGTCCTTCACCTCTGGCCGTACCTCATCACAGACCTCCGCAACCTGGGCGCCAAGAAGTTCTTCGGAAAATTCTGCGCGGGTGCCATTGATCACATCAGTGAGTGTCCCGCGTGTTGGTTGTGTGAATGTGTGTGTTTGTTTTGTTTTGGTTAACTCCCCTTTTATAGCGTGTCTCTGTCTGTGTCATCATGTGTGTTGTTTGTATGAATGGCGGTTTTTGGTTAACTTCCCATCCACGTATAGTGTGTCTCTGTGTCATACGTTTTGTGTGTCTTCTGTGTTGTACATGATGTCTCGGTGTGTCAACTGTATTTTGTTTGTGTTTGTGTCACTTGTCGGGTGTGTCTCTGTGTGCGTGGCCTGTAATTTGTGTTTGGATGTCATCTGTAATTGTGTGTCTTTGTGTCAACGAATATTTTATTCCTGTAATTGTGTGTGTTTGGGTCAGCAAATGTATTTGATTCCTGTAATTGCGTGTGTTTGTGTCAACGAATAGTATTTGATTCCTGTATTATGTGTCTGTGTGTGTGTCAACGAATAAAATTTTATTTCTGTATTTGTGTGTGTCAACGAAGAGTATTTTATTCCTGTATTTTGTGTCTGTCTGTGTGTCAACGAATTTTATTTTATTCCTCTGTTGTGTGTCTGTCTGTGTGTCATCGAATAGTATTTTATTTCTGTACGGTATTTTGTGTCTGTCTGTGTGTCCCAGGTATCCGACAGCTACAATGTATCCTGCTGAAGGTGGCGCTGTTGTTGGGTGTGGAGGTTCATGTCAACGTCTCTATTGTGTGTCTGTGTGTGTGTCTGTCTGTGTGTCAACAAATAGTATTTGATTCCTGTATTGTGTGTCTGTCTGTGTGTCAATGAATAGTATTTGATTCCTGTATTGTGTGTCTGTCTGTGTGTCAACGAATAGTCTTTTATTTCTGTATTATGTGTCTGTGTGTGTCAACGAAGTCTTTTATTTCTGTATTATGCGTCTGTCTGTGTGTCAACAAATAGTATTTTATTTCTGTATTGCCTGTCTGTCTGTGTGTCCTCCAGGTATCCGACAGCTACAATGTATCCAGCTGAAGGTGGCGCTGCTGCTGGGTGTGGAGGTTCATGTCAATGTCTCTTTTGTGTGTCTGTGTGTGTGTCAACGAATAGTGTTTTATTCCCGTATTATGTGTGTCTGTCTGTATGTCCTCCAGGTATCCGACAGCTCCAGTGTATCCTGCTGAAGGTGGCGCTGCTGTTGGGTGTGGAGGTTCACGTCAACGTGTCCTTTGATGGCCTGTTGGAACCTCCCGAGGACCAGAGCACTGGTGGGTGTGGCTTGTTTTGTGTGTGTGTGTGTGTGTGTGTTTCTGTCTGTCTGTCTTTCTCTGTCTGTCTGTTTCTTTTCTCTTTCTCTCAGTGTCTCTGTCTCTGTCACTTTCTCTGTATCTCTCCCTCACTCCCTCTTACTCTCTTTCTGTCTGTCTGTGTCATAGTTTGATTGCAACTGATAAGGTCATATTAGCGCCGTTAAAA